CGTCAAACCCAACGGAAATCCACAATTCTGATAGGCTTCGTGTCAATGTCCCCTTCTTCAGTGAATTAGGGCAACTTGGATGAGACAGGAGTATGATTTATCACTGCCTTCTTAAGAAGTGAGATGTGAAACACCGGATCAAGCTTTGAGGTTGCAAGGAGGTCCAACCGGTAAGCAACAAGGCCCACTCTCTCCAAAACCTTATAAGGCCCATAATACTTGGGTGCTAGCTTGTGCCAAGCCCGTCTTACTACCGAGATCTAGCGGTAAGGTTGGAGCTTAAGGTAAACGAAGTCACCCACCTGAAATTCTAGTGGGCGGTGGTGAGAGTCATAGCGGGCCTTCATTCGCTGTTGGGCTTTTGTCAAGTTGGACTTAAGCAATCTAAGAATCCCGTCTCTCGCAAGTAGACGGGTTTCTACTTCTGCCACCTTGGATGACCCATATTCATAAGGTAATATGGGAGGGGGTTCTCTGCCATATAGAGMTTTGAAGGGTGTCATTCCAGCAGCCGACTGATAAGTCGAATTGTACCAGTATTCTGCCCACAGAAGCTAATGAACCCACTGTCGAGGCTTCTGCCCTATGAAGCATCTAAGGTAAGCTTCCAAACATCGATTAAGAACTTCAATCTGTCCATCAGTCTGCGGGTGATAACTCATGGAGGGGTGCAGTTGGGTTCCTTGCAACCGAAAATATTCCTTCCAGAATGAACTCAGGAAGGTAGGGTCCCGATCTGAGACAATGGATCTTGGGGTTCCATGCATCTTGGCGACGTCCCGAATGAAGATGTCAGCCACCATTGCTGCGGTGTAAGGGTGAGGTAATGCAGAGAAATGGTTGTACTTGGTGAGATGGTCAACCACTACCATGATAACCTCCTTTCCTGCAGAACGAGGAAGACCCGTGATGAAGTCCATGGAGAGGTCTTCCCACACTTGCTCTGGAATCTTGAGGGGTTGTAGAAGGCCAGCGGGAGACTGTGAGGAGCATTTCTGCTATTAGCAGGTATGGCATTCGGATACATAGTGCAATACATCCTTACGCATTCCTACCCAATGATAGTGGTTGCTGAGCCTCTTTAGGGTCCGTAGAACCCCTAAGTGTCCCCCCAAGGCGGAGTTATGAAACAACCTTAGCAGTTCAGCCTTGTGGACTGAATTCTGGGAACAACAAACCGGCCCCTAAAGAAAAGATTAGGCCCCATAATTTGGTAACCAACAACTTGGGAAGGGTCTCGACTCCACTTATCTCTAATATCCTGCAGCTGTGGATCAAACCTGGTTTCTTGCCGTATAGCTTCAAACAAAGGAAAATTGGGCTGAGAACAAGTCAGATGGGCTAACTCTTCCACTTGTGACAAGGCATCAGCTACTCTGTTTGCCGGCCTAGGCTTATATTCTATGTGGTAGTCAAAGCCCATCAGTTTACTAAGCCATTTTTGCTGCTCCGGGGTGTGCACCATTTGCTCTGCTATGTACTTCAAACTTCGTTGGTTTGTCCTTATAACAAATTGGCGTTCCAATAGGTATGGACGCCACTTTTGCACTGCCATTACCACAACCATCATTTCTTTGACATAAGTGGACTGGCTTTGGTGAGCTGCTGAGAGAGCCTTGCTGAAATAAGCAATGGGCTGCCCTTTCTGCATTAAGACGGCCTCTACTCCTACACCCGATGCATCACATTCTATTTCAAAGGGCTGAGAGAAGTCTGAAAGAGTGAGGACTGGAGGGCTAGAAACTGCTATCTTCAAGTCTTCAAAAGCCCATTGGGCATTATCAGCCCAACCGAAGGAATCCTTCTTTAATAGACGCGTTARAGGGGCGGCCATAAGCCCATACCCCTTAATGAAGCGCCTATAATATCTGATAAGCCCAAGAAAGCCCTGTAGAGCCTTTACAGTAGTGGGCTTGGGCCACTTCTGGATGGTGTCTACCTTTTCTGGGTCTGGCATGACCCGCCCTGCTGCAACCACATGGCCTAAGTATTGAATTTGTCCTTGTCCAAAGGAACACTTTGTCATTTTGGCATGTAACCGGTGCCCCCTTAGAGTTGTGAGGGTGAGTTTCAGATGTTCCATATGTGTGTCCCAATCCTTGTATACCAGAATATCATCGAAAAGCACCAGAATAAATCGCCTTAGGAATGACCTGAAGATGTCATTCATGAGGGCCTGAAAGGTGGAGGGGGAATTGGTAAGTCCAAAAGAAATAACCAAAAACTCATAGTGGCCATCGTGGGTCCTAAAGACCATCTTGTGGATGTAAGCCTGGTGGACCTGAATCTGATGATACCCGAATTGCATGTCTAATTTGGAGAACACTCATGCCTCTCCCAACTCGTCCAACAGTTCATCAATGAGGGGTATAGGAAACTTGTCCTTCATTGTAATATGATTCAAGGCCCGGTAATGTACGCAAAAGTGCTAACTACCATCCTTCTTCTTCACTAGGAGTATAGGGGATGAAAAAGGGCTGGTGTTGGTCTATATATGCCATTTTTCCAATAGTTCTCTCACTGCCTTCTCAATTTCCAGCTTCTGGAAGTAAAGGTATCTATATGGCCTCACATTGGTCGGTTTAGAACCTGGTAAGAGAGGTATCTGATGATCATGAGCCTAGGGTGGAGGTAATTGGTTCGGCTCCTTGAATACGTCGCCAAACTGATCGAGTATCGATCGTAAGGCCTCGTGTTGGGCTCCTGTGGGGTGGACACAGCCTTGGTTGTCCAGAATTGGGACTGTGGGTCGGATGCCTAAGTGCATAAATAAGGGTTGTCCAGCATCCTTGGAGGCCCATATCATGGAGGCTAAAGTGTCACCTTGGGGACTAGGGGGCCGCACCCCTTGTAAATGACAAGTTTGGCCATTCTGGTGAAAATCCATAGTCATTTTGGCCCAATCACATAGAACAGGGCCCAGGCCACGCAACCAATGAATCCCCAAAATAATATTAGCCCCTGAGAAATCCAATGGGTGGAGATCCACCATGAAATTATGGCCTTGTATGAGGATTTTTTCCTTCTTACATACACCATTACATGACATCTGACTCCCATTAGCCACATGGATCGAAAAGAGATGAGTGGGTTGTATAGTCATACCTAGTTGCCTTGCCAAACGGCAAGTGATGAAATTCAGGGTAGAGCCACTGTCAATCAAAATCATCACGGTCCGGCCAACCAACCTTCCTTCTACTCGCATGGACTGAAGAGAGTTGAGGCCCATAAGGGCGTGTAAGGAGATCTCGGCCCCGTTAGGTTCTGGTCCGTCTAGAATCAGTTCACAGTCATTTAAGTGCTCTAGTTCTGTCTCTTCCTCTATCTATAGAAGAAACACCCGCTCGACCCGGCATTTATGGCCCGGCCAAAACTTATTATCACAGTAATAACAAAGGCCTTTCTCGCGTCGGGCCTGCATCTCAGCCCATGAGAGACGTTTGAAGGGCATAGTGGGTCGGGGCAAGATGGGCTTCTGATGATCCCCAACCTGTTTCATGGGCTGCGGATCGACCTGTGGAGGAGTTCTCACATTCGAGTGGGTCGATTTGTTGGCTCTGCGTAGGTTGTTGATTTTTTCTTCTTGCAGGCGAGCCAATCCCATCGCAGCCATGATAGTCACCGAATGGAGAGCCCTCACCTCCAGACGGATATCCTCTCTAAGGCCTCCCACAAAACATCCTACTAAGGCTTTCTCCGACCAACCGTGTACCCTGGTCGCCATTCGCTCGAACTCGAGCTGGTACTCTACTACCATTCCAGTCTGCTTCAACCGAGTGATAAGCTCGTCATAGTCCATGAACGTCGTCGGCCCAAAACAAATGCACAGAGCTTCAGTGAATTCCACCCAAGTTACCTGGGGATGATTTTGGTGATACCCCTAGAGCCATAGAATCGCATCTCCTTTTAGATGAATGGAAGCGATGGAGACATGCTGGTGTGCGGGAGTTTCGTGGTATTCGAAAAATCTTTCTGCTCTAAAGATCCAAGGAATGGGATCTCCACCAGAATAGTTGGGAAAGTTGATCTTAGTGACTTTTCCGATGGGGTAATACCCTGTTCTTTGGCTGCTAGAAGCAGAGGCTTCCGCTCCTACTGGGTGACTGGTCTCGCCGGATTGTTGCTGAGAGGCAAAGCTTGAGACGACCACTTTGAATTCCCTGAGTTTGTTCAACACCTAGTGGAATCCAACCTCAAGCTGGTCGACCCTATTATCCATGGCAGAGGAACGTGTCTATAGCATCGTGAAGCCTGTGATCTGGATAGCCTGGCTCTGATACCAATTGATGAGTTATCGCTCACCTCGAAAGCCCCTTCGAGGGTGGCTTAACCTCTTAAAACAGAAGATGAAAGAGAGAAGAGAAGGAAGGGTAGGAAGAAAATGACTCAGAGAGAGAGATAAAATAGATTCATTCACACTACTTATTACATGATCAGGGCCTTATATAACTGGCCTACATGTGTGCAATCATGGAGAGAATATCTTTTGGTGGCAATGTAACTAACTCTGAAAGGCTCTGAATGTAACTAACTCTAGGGGCTCCGCATGTCACACTACCCTTTCTGTTTTCTAGTGAAATGCTGATTGGTGGTGGCCTGCTCCACTCCCATAGTTGGGTTCGAAGGGAGTGTTTGGGTTCCAACACTATAACTACTGTATTTTGTCAAAATCATTACTAAAAGATGCAATCTATATCCACAGTTTTTTTGTAAAAACCATAGTTATATGTACAAACCATTTAACTACGGTTTTATACAAAACTGAAACTATATACATCACATTATAGCTACGGTTTGGACAAACCGTGGTTAAAACCTGACTATGGCCATGGTTTATTCCAAAAATGTAGCTAATTGTTTCAATCTAACAATGGTTTTCTTAAATAACGATAAAATACCTGTTCCATTCATACATTCCATAACTAATTATTCAAATTAAAGTAGTAAAATAGCAATAATCGATACTACCACCTTAAAGCAATGTCGATTTCATTCATACATCACATGAAAATTATATATTGTATTAAAAAACTACATGCCATGTATAATTTGATACATCCATTGTGTTACCAACAAAAATATATTACAAATGTCAAATTTTCCTCGATACATATTTAAGATAAGATGACCTTCAAATAAAAAATTCTAAATATAAAAGAAATATCCATTGTCTCCAACCATGCTTTGAGTCACTCATTGAATGAAAACCTACAAAGAAAAACAAAAAAGAAAGGTTAAAATAAGGATTACTTTGATAATCTAATTAAATATACAATATACAATAAAAAAATAAGTGAAAGAAGCTAGGTAACTAAAATCAATATTATGTAAATGCAAGATAAATATTAAATTTCTAATTAAATGTGTTCGGTGCACTTATTTGACTACTTTCGGATGAAAAATATATTGCTTGTACGTTATGCCCCGCATCAACTTGGCATTAGAGTCGTCTTAGATTAAGGTGAGGTGTTTGGTTATATGAGTAGTGGTTCTTTGGGCCTTTAGTCGGTGGACAACGTTAGTAATAAAATCTCTTCCCTAGATTTTGCATTGAACAACTCAATTAGATGGATCCTAAGGTTGACTAGCCCACTAGCCCATTTGCTATATTAAATTTCTGTAAGGTTATGAAAGTACAAAGGAACATATGAGATGATGACTAATCAATACCAAAACTGGTAGTTTGCTGAGAGAGATCTGTATGGGCCACTGGTTGCGTAGATAAATCTATGTAATGCATATTTGATATTTCATTAAATAATGTCTTGCTTTTCAAATATTAGGCACTTGCAAACAAGATAGAATCAATACTATGCTACTACCATGCCTTAAAGTATGCAGCAATATAAAGGATGTTGTATCATTGTCAAAACTCATTTTATAGTCATTCATGATGAATGTTGATACATTGGAACTCACCTACTGATATATGAGTCATCTGTTGCATTAATAATTACTTCATCTCCTGTTCTAATGAAGGATGATACCTGGAATATGTCAAAATTGCTCAATAAGAAAAACTGTAGGTATTAATAACCATAAAGATATTTTACATTTGAAAGATAAAATGTTACAACATTGTAGTGGAAAATAAAAAGCATGTAGAAAAATGGAAGGGAAGCATGGGTTAAATGAATAAATGACAATACTCATGTCCTGAGTGTTCACTATAAATGAAACTACAGCTATGTGACCAAAAACTAGAGGAAGAGCAGGTGAAGAGCAAGAATGGAAGCAATATGTGTGAGCGTCGGAAAATGACACACTTGGGGGTCATTTGGAGTTGCCACCCATCATTGATGTAAATTGGGAATGATGGGCCTCCCAGTTTATTTATGCATAAAATCATTTTGACCCAATTAGTGACTCCATACCTAAAGTACCGATCTAACCAGCCTACGTAAGACTTGAATGGGAGAGGGAAGGGATTAGACACCCCTCTCCCATGTACGATAGGTTGGGGTTCACATGGGAAGAATACCAAAACAAGATAAATAAATAAAAGAAAAGAAACTAGATGACACGGGAAGTGAGTTATTTTGTAACCCAAGAAAAACAAAAGAGAGAGAGAGAGAATGATCATTAATAAAATATGAGAATAATTTCCAAGCATAAACTAGCAATTATCCAATAAGTCAAAGAGATACATTATTTGGCTAAACTAAAAGGAAAGTTATCATGAAATTGAGGTCAACAGTTTCACCTTGAATTATTCAAGGAGGAGACAGAGATTGTCAATACAACATGAAGTAACCCAAGACTAATCGCAATGTTTAACTTAATTAGCTTCAACTAATGTTAAACAAAGTGTAAAATCCTAAGCCCTAAACAAACTATTCTAATACCGAGGTAATAGTCCAAGTGATAGTTAAGGATTATGCATATAAATCGATATTATACACTATAATGACTAAAAACATAGCCAACAAGAACATCCGTGGTATTTACCTTCCACAATTAAGTGAATATCATAACTAATAACACCTAATGAATTGATAATTAACCATGACTGAAATATTCATTATAAAAGTGATGTAACAACGATAAATTTAAACAAAACCAACCTAACGGGATTATGGGAGACTGTGAACAACTCAAAACCAAATAGCATTGTCGAATAAAAACCAATCAATGATAACGAGATAAATAAATAGAACTAACAAGAAGCTAAATAAGAAAGGAAATAATAATAAAAGGATAAGAAATATATCAGAAGCAGAAACAAACCGATGTATATCCCAATATGAGAACTGTAGTAGGATGTTGGGATGTGCCTTCAAATCTCCCCTTGAATGTGACAAAGGGCTGAAGCTATTGATTAAATTTCATGAGAGCGGGTCGGTGGATGGTGGTTACTCAGACGTTGAAAATGAATGGCAATGGGGCTTGTGACATTAAGCATCCGGTGAGAGAAAGCAACGGCTCCTTTACTCAGTTGGGGTGGAGAGCAAACTAGCTTGCACTTCTAGCACGGGAGTTAGCCACAACAGAAATCTCTTCTTGCTTATCTTATTGTCGGTGCTCTACCATAGGTCGGTTGTGGCGATGTAAACAGACCCCTTTGAAGGAAGAATACCAACTTGATGGATTTGATGAAGGTTGGATTGGGACTGTGTTTTACATATGGATTGAACAGGGAGAGAGGATGTTGACCTATGGGAGCATCATCATGAGTTATAGAGGAAGCGAATGGCGCAGAGATTCGGTGGAGAAGACAAAAGAACAGGGGTTGGACTTAAACCAGTTATTCACAATTTTAATTGTTGGTTCGAATACTTGCCTCATAAATCGTAATAGCTCTCAATCGATGAAGCTCACATACACTTTACCTCTTTTCCCCGTAGAGGTTGAAATTCAAAGCTGTAACCGGTAATATGCCCTAGATTCACGATGCTGGGGATGAGAACTGTTGCTATTGTGGTCAAATTCGTGTATGCAGTATTGCGAAGGTGTCAATCTTGAACTCAATTACTACCATTGTCAAGTTTCTGTTGCCGCTAATGGGTTCAAATGGAGAAGACAGTGATAGTGAACAGTGGAGTTCCGTGTTGGGGTAGAAAGTTAATGAAATCGGAGAGGTGGAGAGAAAAAATCAGAAAAAGAAGAAAGAGAGAGGGAGAAGAAGTTGGGACTTGGGAGAATGAAAAGAGGTTCCTGAGAAGAGGTTGGGGGAGAGATCAAGGTGAACAGTCGCCCCCTCATAAAATAACTAGGATTAGGTTTTCGGTGCAAATGAGAGAAGCTGAATAGGGAGGGAAAGGGTTTCTTGTGTGCGGGAAAGAATTTGCATCAATTATTTTAGCGGTCTTTCAAATTTTTATTTCCATTCAATCTCAACCGTTTAATTGAATTCAATCTCAACCATTTATAAAGAAAATTTAAATTTATTTAATATAATTGCACTAAGCCACTAATGTTTTAGTCATTTAATTCTCTTAATGTCTTATTAGTTGCTTAATCGTTTATCATGGCTATTATATTATTTCAGCAATAATTAATAGTTTTTGTTAATTATTTAATTATTTGATCATTCTATCATTTATTTATTTAACAATTTCATTGAATATTTTATTAATTATTTAATTATTTTTTAAAACTTTTAATTATTTAATGATTTTTACTAGTCATTTAATAAAATTTTTTGAATACAAATTTCTAGTGGTTTTCATTCAGTTGGTTCGATTCAATTTGGTTAAAACTAAGAACCTAACATTTTCAAAAAAAAAAAAAGAAAAAACTACGAACACCTAACTAGCATTTCAATTTATCCATTCTTATGAACCGGATTGAACCGAACTAGATGTCATAACCAAACTGAGTTTAAACTCATGAAAAATATATTATTATTAATACGTATAATAATATATATTGCTATTTATAAACTTATAATATATGTGTTTCAAGGGGCTACACAACGGGAGGTACCATATCCCCAATTCTAGTGGCAACGGAATTCGATCATAGGTCTTTGCTACAACGACTAAAGATCTTACCAATTAAGCCACCATCAAACCAAAAATCAAATAAATCAAACTAAATTTGCTTATTTAGTTTGGTTCAATTTAGTTTTCATTTCGGTAACCAAATTGAGTACCCCTAGCTTTCATTGCTTGTGGCATGACATTTGCTTTTTGAAATGAAAAATGAAATTAAAATATGCACCCATGCCATTGATTGTAGTGTGTTTGTTGTCTCTATGTCATCAGTGAATAAAGGTCAATGGCGATGGTTGGTCATCTGTGTTATAGACTGAACATTAGATTTGTGTCACTATGACCTGAATAAGATAATGTCGCAACACAAAAGGTTTCACTAGGAGGGGAGAAGAGAAGAAATCTAACTATTGGGTCGGGTTTGAATCGGTTCAAGACTAGGTGGAACCAATTCCAAACTGATAATAATCGGGACTATATCTGGAACCAGAGTCAACTCATCGGTTTTGATTCGTAGAACCATAACCAACCTAATCAGTTCATGAACATTGGGTTCGTTGGGTTGAACCTGACTCATTGAATGCCCTATTTCTATGTAATATACATATAGTTAAATATATGTGGGTCAAGTTAAGCCCAAGGCGGGTTTTAAGTATTAATTAAGCCTATGCCCAACCCTAAAATTTGGGGCTCTAATGAAAGCCCGAGCCTCGGCCATGGCTTAAACACAAAATCTAGGTCCAAGAGCAAAAATTTCCAACTTACTAAAATGATCACCCTTGTTTTATGGCAAAAATAGCAGGGTAAGGTGCCTTCAGTACTTTAAAACATATAGGTAGCAAAAAAGTTACTCAAGACCAATTCATTAGTTCCTTGGTTAGACCAGTTTGGTGGATGGTTTTGGCTTTGTTTTTTTCTTTTTCTTTTTTTTTTTTTTGAAGTCAATAGGGTTAGCTGTATGATCAAATTGGTTAAGGGTTGGGTCATGGTTTAACAATAATCTGACTAGCTGGTCTTGTCCAACTTTCTAAACATTGGTTTTGTTATATGTTTGATTATATATAGAATAAATAATATTGTTTTGAAATATGTAGCATATATATATTGATTTATTTATATTTTATTTTAGTTTTCAATCTTTCACAAATAAAAAAAGTTAAAAAAATACACTTTGAGGAAAAAATTTTGGTAAAGTGGTTGAAATAATTTATTAAATAAATTATTAGTTATTATGTAATTAATAAAATAATAATTCATAATTATTTATCTATATTTTATAACTATTACTTTGTTAATAATTTATTTATGAATTTAAATAATTTAGTTTAATTGTCAATATTATTTTCATCCGTAGGTAATTAATTAATTTACTATTAGTGGTTTTCATATTTAGTTTATTATTTTCTATAAATTATTAATTTACTTAAATAATTAAATTAATTTTTGATGATTACTTTTAATTAATCAAATAATAGTTAATACTTATTTATTTCTATTTTAGAAATTATTTTCTTTTTATTAATGTACTTATGATATTATTAATAATTTATTTTCTGGTTTAATTATTATTAAATAGAAATCATTAATTATTATTGTTAAGCAATAGTAATGAGCTAATAATTTGTTAATTATTAATTATTTATATTCATTTACTTTAATAAATTCTTAATTATTAATTTACTTTAAAAAAGTAATTAATAAATAATAAATATTTTAAATGAATATTATATGATTATTATTTATGATCTAGGAATAAAATGATTGCGGCTAAAGATGATTAACTTCATAATTATAGCCACGGAATTTTAATTATCTGTGGCTATATGATATAGTTCTTTAGCCACAGACAGAATAACTTTTAACCACGGACAAATTGTTAACTTTTTCTTTTGTAACTTATAGCCACGGATACACTATGACCGTGGCTAAAAGTATCTTTTAGCCATGGATAGAATAACTTTTAACCACGGACTTAGTGTCCGTAGCTAAATCTCAATTTCTGCTTTTGTAAGTTATAACCACGAATACACAATAACTGTAGCTATAAAAATCTTTTAGTCACAGACAGAATAACTTTTGCACCACTTAATGCTGAATATGTCAGTATGAAGAGCCAGCAGTAGGGTTATTTAGGAGTATATTCAGCAGCCTAAAGGAACAATAACATAAAATACAGAAACCAAAAATTGTTTTTACATCAGAAACCTCTGCAAAAGTTTGTGCACAATATATTGGACGGTGATACTGAGGTGTTCCATATCAAGGAAACCTAGTAGGCTATAATAAGAAACAAAGACATCATGGTAGCAATAGAGTAAGCCAACCAGTCATGGAACTTCAGACGAGAACCAGATGCAAAAACTCCTCCCTCAAGAAACATTTTAAGTTTCAAGACAGGCTATACACCAAAATTCTCATAAACAGCATAAGAACAAAACTGTAGCAACAGTACTAGGAGATCTCAAAATAAGCACATTATCTGCAGCCTACTTAGTAGTTACAGCCATGCCTACTAATATTCTGATATTTCCATTTTCTAAAAGGGTTATCATGAAGTCTGGATTTCTCTTTTTTCTTTGTTTGGAAAAAATATATGAAGTCTGGATAATTAAAAAAAAGAAATCCAAATTCCAGGGATATATTCCAAACACCAATGTTGAGACAACAACAATGGCATCTCTGTATTTTTGAAATTCTATTTTAATTCTTTATACTGGAAAAACTTTTCAGTAATTTTATCTGTATCATCATATTTGGTGATTTTATTGTTTCAAATAAAGAATCAACTCCAACTAGATCTATTATTATTTAATTATAATTAATTATTAAAGATATAATTCCTTTAAAAATGATAAAACTGAGATATGTACTGCATATATAAACTGTTTTTTTTTATGGATGCTTATCAAAAATAAACTATTTTTTATGGATAACTGATAATTTTATTAAAAGTTCTAGCACCCTAAAGTTCTAGCTTACCCTAAAGCTAGCTTACCCTAAGAGCATGTAGGGAAATGTTTAAGTTGCTATAAATGATTAATTCATTCCTGTAGTGACTTGAGTAAGAATTATATTTGATATCTCATTTACTTTACATCATCTAGCAATTTATATGTTATGGTTTGCAGGTTAAACCATTATGTCAAGTGGATTTGCATTGGAAGAAGTGTTACATTATTCAAGAAGACTTTTTTAAATGCCTTGTACTTTTGTATATGTCAATTGGATATTGTATTTAAACAATTTGTTTTGGATATTATAATAATTAATATTTAATTAAAAGTTTTTTATTTTTATTTGTATTGTTTATTTAAATTGATTTTTATGTATTATTTGCCATGATATTTGTATTAAACACATACCAAAAAAAATGCTGAAATCAAATTCATACAAATAATTAAAAAAAAAAACAAAGGCGGTGGTCATACATCCGCCGCCTTAGACATAAAAAAGATCTAAGCCGGTGGTCCAGACTGCCACCTAAAAAATGAAGAAATATGTTAACTGACCTAAGGCGGCGGTCTAAAGAAATCTAAGCTGACGGTCTAGACCGCCACCCAAAAGTAGAAGAAACATGTTAACTGACCTAAGGCGGCAATCTAAAGAGATCTAAGCCAACAGTCTAGATTGTCGCCTTTATTAACTCTAAGTTGGCGGTCCTGATAGACCGCCGCTTTAGTGATGATTGAACCGCATCAGACCAGCCTTCTAGGGTGGCAGTCTTTTATGTTTAAGCCAGCGGTCTTGGCCTAAGCCGATAGAAGTTTAGGGGGCGGACCGAAGACCGCTGCCTTAGATCAAAGCCGGTGGTCTTTAGGCTTAAGTCGGCGGACCGAAGACCATCGGCTTAGACCGATTTTCTTGTAGTGCTATATTATGGCATATCCTCGCTAAATGGGTTGCAAGCTTCACTATCGCGTTGGTCCAATCTAGGCTGTTCGGAAAGACAAGCGAACAGTTTCGGGAAATGGTGGATTAGAATCTTTGGAGTTCCTCTTTCAGCTTGGTGTCCCACAATGTTCAAGGAGATCGGAGCTGCGGTTGGAGGCTTTGTTGCTATAGACTTGAGCAATGTGGCATGGAGAAACCTCAAAGCCCTTCGTCTGCTGGTCTAGAGAAGGGAAATGAAAGATATTCCTAAATCTTTAGAGCTGTTGGTGGGGGTTATTCGATACCTCCTGAGGATTGTAGTAGAGGATAATGAATTTCAGTTTGAACGAAGATTTGTAGGCTTTCCTACTTAGTTCATGGGTTCCCAATCTAGTTTTTCTCCGTCTATGCCTGATGTAGGCGCTTACGATAGACCAGTAGCATGCCCACACGTGGCTGAAG